AATAGAACTGTTGAGTGTAGCAGTGCATTCCTGAAATCCCAGCACTTAGGACATAGATGCAGGAGGATTGAGTGTTCCAGGCCAACTTGGGCTACATAGCAAGACCCTGTATCAAAAAAACAAAAAGGAACCTGCCATATGATCCAGCAATCTCACTACTGGACATATACCCAAGAAAAATGGAATCAGTAGGTTGAAGAAATGTCTGTTGAATTTTCATTGCAGCACTATTCATAATACTCAAGATATGAAATCTACTGAGCACTGGTGGCTCACACTTGTAATCCTAGCTACACTTGGGAGGCTGAGATCAGGAAGACCATCCCAGAAAAATTGTTCTTGAGACCACATCTCCAAAATAACCAGAGCAGAATGGACTGGAGATGTGGCTCAAGCTGTAGAGTGCTGAACCCCAGTTTCTTCCCCCCATCAAAAAAAAGATATGGAATCAACCTAGATGCCCACCTACAGATATATGAATAAAAATGTGATTGATCACACTGAGAGAGAAACACACACACACACACACACACACAGAGTAGATTATTCAATCAGTAAAAGAACAAAATTCTATCATTTGCAGCAACATAGATAGAACTGGGGGACATTATGTTAAGTGAAATAAGTTAGATATAGGAAGACAAAGACATATTTTCACTTATATGTAGGAGCTAAAAAGTTGACCTCATAGAGTTAGAATAGAATAGTGAGGCTAGGGATGTGTAGTTCAGTGGTGGAGCACTTGTCTAGCATGCATGACATCCTGGATTTAATCCCCAGTGCTGAAAAATAAACAAACAAATTAATTATTAATCTAAAAGGATAGGCCCAGGGCTGGTGGCACAGCCTGTAATCTCAGTACTCAGGAGGCAGAGGCAGGAGGATTGTGAGTTTGAAGCCAACCTGGGGTACATAGCAAGACTTGTTTCAAAACTGAACAAAAAGAATTGAATAGTGGTTGCCAGAACCAGGGAAAGATGTGAGGGAAGGGGATGGGAGACAATGGTTAATGTGTACAAGAGTCAGTTGGATACGAATAATAACTTCTCATATTCTATATAGCACAGTAGGATAACTGGTTTACGATAATCAACTGAGTATGTCAAAATAGCTAATCGAGAGGACTTTGAATCTTCCAAACACAAAGAAATGATAAATGTTTAAGGTGATAGATATGCCATTATCCATTTGCTTATCTCCAAGGGGTTAGGGGTGGCTCAAATGGTAGAGCCCCAGCCTAGCAAATGTGAGGTCTTGAGACTTTAGTTCAAACCTGAATACCATCAAAAACCCAAAACCAAACAAAACAAAATACTCATCTCCAAGCTCAACAAATCAAAGGATCCCTTTTCAACAAAACCCTCCTTAGAGAGCAGTTTAAGGGGCAAGTCCCCTTTTCCATAAACAAAAGGATTCCCTCAAAAAGAACTGTGATGATTGAAATATTGAATATTTTTTTGGAAGTGCTGAGATCTGAACTCAGAGCTAGGTGCTCTACCACTTGAGCCATGCCTCCAGACCTTTTGCTTTAGTTGTTTTTCAAATAGGGTCTTGCATTTTTTCCTAGGCCAGCCTGGACTGAAATCTTCCTATTTATCTTCCCCAGTAGTTGAGATGATAGGCATGTACCACCATGCCCAAATTATTGGTTGAGATGGGGTCTTGCTAGCTTTATTTTTGCCTGAGTTGTCCTTGAACCACTATCCTCCCAATCTCTGCTTCCCAAGTAGCTGGGATTAATAGCTGTGAACTACTGTACCCTGCTTTCCATCCTCTTCTATCAGGAAGAATATTTTAATTACAGCAATTTAAAAATAGCCTGGTTTTAGTTCCAAGTCTCTGAAAATTTTCCAATAGAACATGGAAGATCACAGCTATTTTAAAATAGCTGGGTGTAAAATTAGAGTTTATAACCTCTGCTTTTCCTTAACTCTAAGATTTTTAGACCTGTCTAATGCCTCTCACTGAGGGCTCCAGTCAGGTTCCTGGACATCAGGAGCTCCTTGTATTTGGTGTTATAGTTTTCGTAATGTATACTCTAATCACACTAACTAACAAATGCTTGTCTAGGTCTTATTACGTGCGAGCCAGAGTCCTAAGCATGCAGCAGGAGGAATCAACTCCCACACTCTTCAAAGCAAACCTGTGAGGAAGGTTTTATTATGATTCTTCCCATGTTAAAGAAAAGAAAACTGACAGCATAGAAAGGCTGAGTAGTTGGCCCATGTCTATGTGGAATGTCACTGGCAGAGCTGGGATTTGAATCCAGGTGGGCTGTTTCCAGAATCCAGTTCCTTAGTGACATCATACTGCTAATACTTGTCAGGGGTGTATAATTACACCACTTCTGAACACTGAGATCTACATGGTTCTTTGGTCTAGTTTTTGCCTGCTGGAAGTTGGTGGGCTGAGACATGACAAGCTGACCTGATCAGAAGGCATAAAGCAGCCAAGGTATACCATATGCTGTCCACTCTTAGAAGTCGAAGACAGTCAGAAACATGGATAGTTCATCAGGGCCAGAAGTGGTGCTGCAGTGACCAACACACATACTTGATATGGAGTCTTTGCTTTGTAGAGGTCTTAAACAGCAGCTATCCCAACTACTCACTCATGGAGCCAATGTATGTGGTATGCAAGTTGGTGGGGCTTATTTTTCCCCTATCTGGACCCCCCCGCTTTTTCTCTAACTTTGGATTTAAGTCAAGTAGATTCCTACCTTCCACTTCCCCTTTTCCTAGTGGAATGGGGTCTGGGACAGGCACAAGGTGTGGTCTCACCCTCTTCCAAAGCATCCTCACCTCTGCTTTGTGCAACATTAAATTTATCAGCATTGCAACCTTTCATTTGGTTTTCTTCAGTGCTGGGGATCAAACCCAGGGCCTTATGCATGCTAGGCAAGTGCTGTACCACTGAGCTACATTCCTAAACCCCACCCTTCATTTTGGGATAAATATCACACCTGGAATATCGTTTGTGTTCTGACTTGATGAGATTAAATCTCTCTGGACAGCACTAATTCTTTTCTGATGTTAATTTTTAAAATATTTTTATAACTCCTGCAATGTAATTAAAAAATTACTTTCAGGCTGCAAAACTGGCTTCTGCTGCTAATTAGATTCCATGGATCTTTCCTGAAAGGTATAAATCATTAAAAAAAAAATTACTAAGTGTACTGCTATGATAAATAAATTACCCAAGCACTTTGACGTAGAGAAAACAGGGGCTGGGGGTGGGAGGAGGATATTTGTTCGCTTCTGTCAGCTCTGTTTTTTCCAGGTTCTGGCCTTGTGCTGGCCAGTTGGGCTGGCAAGGTCCCCACTGGGTCCACCTACCCCTAGCTGGACCTCTGCTGGGCCCTCCTCTTCCAGGGGTGTCATGTGGGCTGATGAGATAATGTGAAAGCCTTTGTCAACTGCAAGGAACAACTGAATGCCAATTATTCCTGTTGCTATTACTCTTATCGCACTCTAGGGAAGCCCTATTCCCTCCACCCCACTCCACCCCAACCCCAACCCCAACCCCACTAGATAGGACAGCCGGGAAACTCTGAGACTACACTGCCCTTCCCTCATGGGCGGAGGTTCCTGGCAAGGGTTGATCTCCCTTACTTGGGGGAGGGGCGTTCCTGACACCCTCCCCTAGTAATGGCTTTCCCAGTTCTTCCTGGCTTCAGGGGCCAAATTCCGGAAGGAAATCTCAGTTCCAGTGAAAGTTCTCGAGCTGTTGAAATCATCTACTCCTTGGGCCTTCCCTCAGGTCCACCTCCCAGCCCAGACCCCTCCTAATGCCCGCAGTGGAGCCAGGCTGCCCCGGAAGGATCTGACCGGCGATTTCCTAGAATTGTCTTGCTGCAGCTCCTCAGTCTTCCAGCTCCCCACCCCCTTCCTCACCTCATCTCAGTTTCCCTTCCCCAAAGCCCAAACCCCTCTAGATGTCCCAGCTCCCATCCTAATCTAGGCAAGCGCTCTAGGCCCCACGGTTCTCTTTGTCATAGCTACTCTCTTCTGGGGCTGTCTACCACTTCTGGGAGGAGGAATTGGGGCATGGAAGTCAACAAGGCCACCAGGGCCCACAGGAAATTAAGTGTTCTGTGGTTACCAGGGTAACCATCTTTCCTTAGACCTTCTCAGTGTTTTTCATCCCCAGCTTGGGCAGTGAGAAGGACTTGACCATGCAAGTTCCCTCTCCCAATAAATAAAGTCTGATGGGGGCCAAAAACGGTGGGTAGAAGCACAAAAAAAAGCACAGAACATCTAGAAGAGTGACTTGACAGGAGGAACCCCCAAACCACCACTAGTGTTTCAGGGAACACTGCCTTGTATAGCCCACCCCTACCTCTAGGTCCCACTTGGCAAGGACTTCAGGAAGAGGCCTGGAGAGGTCAGGGGAGAGGCCTGTCTGCACTTGATGGATGGTACTGAAGAAATGTCTGGCACTTTCCTTCCCTGTGGGGGAGGAGGAGCTGCAGCCACCTCTCCCCCACATTCCTGCCGCCTGCCTGGGAAGGGGGTGGGGGTGCGGTGGCTCAAGCAGGGAAAGGAGAGGCATTTTTCAAACTATCATATCATTGTCCACTGACAATGGGGAATGGAGGGGTAGGTGGACGATCTCCAAATAACAACTGAGTTTAAAAAGGATCCACACTTCTTGGCTTCCTGGCCTCTCCAGTCACCACCAATTATAATTTCTACTGTATGCCAGCCATTGAGTGATAGTGTAGTTCTCAGAGTGTGGGAGTCTCCAAAACTCTTTTAGGGGACAGATGTGGTCAAATGATTGTCATGATACCAAATACATTATTTGTCATTTTGACTGTTGATATGTGCATCAGAAGTACAAAAGCAATAGGAATAAACTTCCCCATAACTTAGCATAAACCAAGGTAATGGCACCAAACTAGTCATGCTCTTCACTACCACACACTGAAAAAAGGCCAGACACTCATGAAAATGTCCTTGTAAAGCAGTAAAAAATTATTAACATTGAAGGGTTTATTATTATCTTAAATGAGTTAATAAATTAAAATTCAATTTCATTTTTTTGGTTGTTTTCATCTCTAATACAGCCAATATTCATAAATATAAGCCACATAAACAAAAACTCTTTGGAGATCTCAGTACAGTTTCAGCTATGCTGGGAAATTCATTGGATGTCCCATGGTCTTCTCAAAGTTGTAGGTGAGTACAGCTTTGTTCAAACCCTGCCTTTCCAGCTTAGAGTCTTTCCGTAGCATAGGGTGGAGAACATGGCTGTTTTCTAGCAACCCTTTCTCCCTCAAGAAGAGACACTGTCAGTGAAAGAAAGATTTTAATGATCTTTGCTCACAGGAGGAGCAAGGCATACAGACCTGCACCCCTTCTTTGCCACCCCTCTTTTCCCCTGTGCACTGTGTCCACTGTTGGGTAGTATTTGTGGCCTTGTAGACTAGGCCCAGATCTGGATTCCCCCACCCCTTCCTTCACCTAGAGTCTCTTGTCATATTCTCCCGTAGGTAGTAATTTCCCTTTCCAATAAAAAGTCACAGTATAGAAAAGTGGAGGAAGAGGATTCAGGAATCCATGTTCCAGCCTGGCCCTAGTCATGGTGGAGTGGGGATGCATGTGCAGATGTGCACCACTGTGTGTGACTACATGCTTTGGTCAGTCCTGTGAACTCTGAGTTCACCCCTCTCTCAGAGGTCACATCTGGTGCCTCCATTGGAAGACAGCTTGGGTTGGCACACCTGAGCTGTTTAAACTACTTCTCCAGTCCTGGCACTGTCACCTCTGGCACAGGAAAGTGAGGTGTGGAGGGACAGCAGGGGAGACAGCTCAGCCTCGGGTGCTATTCCCATGCTCTCCCAGGAGCCAGTAGGTCCGAACCTTGCCTTTGCCCTGGAGGAAAGAAGAGGTGACTGTTGGGGGTGGGGAAGCATACCCACTTTCCTAAATTGGACAAAAGGCTTAGAGATGGGAGCAACCTTGGGACCCTCTGGGACCAAGGGGTGGGGAAGGCAAGGGATTTCTTCTTTACCTTCATCTCCACATCCCCTCGAAGCTCCAGTTCAAAACCATCAAACTCTTCCAGCACAGCCTTGGTCTCAGAAGACAAGTGAATCTTTAGGGCTGGGTAGAACAGGGGAGAAGAAGGGTGAGAGGTGCGAGGGATGGGAGCAGGAAGTGCAGGCAGAAGAGATCAGGCACTGTGTGAGTAGACATCGGCTCTCCGACCTTCCTTTGGCCTGGAAAACCTCTTAATTCAGAGAAGTTCTATCCCCTGCGTGTAATATGCGGCCATATGGACTCCTTTAGAACTTTAGAGTTGTGTTGTCCAATGTGGTAGCCACTAGTTACATGTGCCTGGCTAAATTAATTAAACCTAAGCACAGTTAAAAATACAGTGCCTCAGTTCCACTAGACACATTTCAAGCCATCAATAACCACATGTGATTAGAGGCTACCATATTGGACTGTACAGATTACAGAACATTTTCCTGACTACAGATAATAGTACAGCACTGCTCAGGAATGTCACCTAGTTCCCGAGGATTTCAGTATAGTGGTCAGGAGCTCTGCCTCAGTATGAATCTCAGCTTGGACCCTTGCTTGGGTAAGTAACAAACTGTGCTTTATTTTCTTAATTGATAAAATGCTGATAGGCTGAAATTTCACATTCTTTTGGGTTCAGTCCCCACCACTGAAACAATATAAGTGAAAATAACACAAAGTATTCAAGAATGTGGCACGTAGGAAGCACTATATAGGTTGTTGCTGTTATCGTCATCTTTGACTCAATACTTTTTTTTTTCGATACTGGAGTTTGAACTCAGGGCCTACACCTTGAGCCACTTTGTGTGTGTGTGTGTTGGGTATTTCGAGATAGGGTCTCACAAACCATTGCCTGGGCTGGCTTCAAACCTCATCCTAATCTCTGCCTCCTGAGCAACTAGGGTTACAGGCGTGAGCCACCAGTCCCTGGCTTTTTTTTTTTTTTTTGGACAAGTCAACCTTGAATTCATGGTCCTCATGCCTCAGCCTCCTAAGTGCTGGGATTATAGGCATGTACCACAATGCCTGGTTCAATACTCTCACTTTAGGGCTAAGCAATGGAGGCATAGGGCAGGAGGTTTGCCCAAGCTGTCAAGTGGGGCTCACTATTCCCACACCCTGTCTGTAACCACTGTCTGAACGTGCCACTGTCTGATATCTCCTGGAATTTGCATCATGGTGGCCTCATGTTATTAAGCCATTTCTGAGAATGTGTTCCTTGAAGAGTGGACCTTAGAGGAGGCTCTCTCCTACCTCACAGTTCCAAACACAGGGCCAAGGAGTATTTGCTGACCTCTGTAGGCTTCCGGGGCTGGTTCCCAATATGGGACACCACCTTAAAGGTGGGATACCTACTGAGAAGTGTAAAACATTGACCTGGAAATACTTCTAAATCATTTGGCAAGAGGCAGCAGCAGGAACCTGAGTCACTCAGATTCAGGGTGATGAGCTCAGGCTGAACTGCAGACGGTCCCTAACTTATGATGGCCCAATGTACTATTTTTCCACTGTGTGATTGTGTGAAAGCTACACACATTCAACAGAAAGTGTTCTTCAGATTTGTTCTTTTCCTGGGCTGATGAAGTGTAGTACAATGCTCTCCTATGATTTGGGGCAACAGCAGTAGCAGTAGCAGTGAGCTGCAGCTCTCAGTCAACCATGAAATCATGAAAGTAAACAACCGATACTCTAGAGTGTACTGTGTTGCCAGCATTTTCTGGAGACTGTGTTTTGCTTTCACATCCTATCATGTCTACAAAACACCCATCTATGTGTATACATGACATATTCAACATTTTATTGTAAAATAGGCTTTGCCCAGTTGTAGGCTAATGAAAGTGCTCTGAGCATGCTTAAGATAGGCTAGGCCTGAGCTATGATGTTTGTAAGTCAGCTGTACTAAATGTATTTTTGACTCGTGATGTTCTCAATTTGCAACGGTGACCCCATCATAAGCAGAGGAGCATCTGTATTATGAGAAGGGGAAGTGAGAGGAGAGAGGGCTAGGAGCTGGTACAGGGCATGGGTAGGCACAAGATGCCACCAGGTGACTTTTCACTTAGTGACCTGGTCCTCCTTATTCCCTCTAGGACGGCCACCATACCTTCTCCATTAGACTCCATTCTTGAGGCTGTGTTGACTGTGTCCCCAAAGAGGCAGTATCGGGGCATCTTTAGCCCTACTACACCAGCACATACAGGTCCTGGGAGGGAAAAGGGAGGGAACAGAGCCAGTTTGCAGCACTGAAGAGGGAAGGGTACTGGTGGCTCACACCTGCAATCCTAGCTACTCAGGAGGCAGAGATCAGGGGGATTGCAGTTGGAAGCCAGCCTGGCAAATAGTTCACAGGACCCTAATCTCAAAAAAAACGTATTACAAAAAAGGGCTGGTGGAGTTGTTCAAGGTATAGGTGTAGGCCCTGAGCCCAAACTCCAGTACACACACACACACACACACACACACACACACACACACACACACACACACAAAGGTAGATGAGTGATCCAGAAGAGAGGCAGGAAATGGGATATGAGGTCCCAGCTCTGTGTGTGTGTCGGTGTGTCTGTGTGTGTAATAAGGGAGTGAGGGGCTGGGCCAAGGGACAAGATCTTCTTCTGTGGCTCCAACCTCCGGCACCAGCCTCCTCATGTCTTTGTTGGCCTCACCTGTGTGGATGCCTATGCGCAAGCGCAGCTGCTCCTGGGGCCGGTGGCGGATGCGGAAGGAGCGCACGGCATCCAGCAGCGCTAGTGCCATGCGAGCCACCTCGCGGGCGTGGAGCCGCCCATTACGCACTGGGAGCCCTGACACCACCATGTAGGCATCACCAATGGTCTCCACCTGTGGGAGGAGCAAAAGGACCCAGGACAGGAGGACTGGAACTATCTTTCCCGAGCCACGAGCCTGCCCCACCATGTGCGCTGTCTTTCTGTTCCCCATCAGCCTCCCTGTCTCTGTCTGTGCTTATCTGCCACCTCCACAGTTTCTTTGCCTGTTCTTCCGTCTTCCTGTGTCACTTTCTGTCCATGTCCCTTTGTCTCCTCTCACATTCTGCCTTCCCGTGGGGACCTTTTCTCTGTCCCTGTACATATCTGTCTGCCTGTTCCTTCCCATCCTACTCACACCCTCACCTTGTACACATCGAAGTTGTCTATGACAGCATCAAAGCAAGTATACAAGTCATTGAGCAGGGTCACCACCTGGAAGGCAGGAGAAGCCAAGAGGGGTGGAGAGTGAGGGTTGGTTGGGCAAAGCAAACCAGAAGGCAGAGCTGAAGGATGGAGAAGTGATGCCAAGCTGACCCATCTGGTCCGTCACCTGTGAAGAAGCTCCAGCTTACCTGCATGGGTGTGCTCTCTGCTGACAGGGCTGTGAAACCCACAATGTCACTGAAGTAGATGGTAACACTGTCAAAAGCCTCAGCCTGGACAGTCTCTCCGCGCTTCAGCTGCTCAGCCACTGAGCTGAGGAGTAAGAGGGTGAGGTGGGGTGGAGACAGGCTGTGTGTGAAGGGGTCCCCGCAAAAGGTACTCACTGAGGCAGAATCTGGTAGAGTAGGGCTTCAGCCTTTCGCTTCTCCTCCAGGTATGCCTGTGTGCGCTCCTCCACCAGCTCCTCCAGGTTGTTGGCATACTGCTCCATGCGGGACAGCAGGTTGTCCAGAATATTGCTGCTGTTCTCCCTGAGGGCCATGGGACAGTGGTGGAGTTGGTGGGAGAGGAGCTACGTGTTCCTGACAGTGACCATCCCCAGGCACTTGTCCTATCCAGACTTCCAGCTGCAGCAGATCCCTTGAGAAAGTCAGGGATAGGGACATGGGAGGATAGGCGTGCACAGAGGAAAGGGGCAGGAGGGAAGTTCAATGCATCTCCGAGACCTTAGGGTCAAGTATGAAGTTGCAGATATCATCTTCTTCATCTTTGCTGAACATGACTTAGGAGGAGAGGGGCAAGGATCAGCTGAGGACAAAGGCAGCAGAGGGGCGCTGTCTAGGAGAACTGGACCCCAGGGGGCACACTGGTAAACTTATACTGAGCTCATGTGGAAGGCCAAGGCTATGGGGAGGAGATGGGAGGACAGGCGTGTGGGGTCCATTTACTCTGCACACCATGAAGAGTTTAATGGCCAGTGCAGGGAGTGAGCAGGAAGGGTATCGAGTCCATGTTGATGGAGGAAAAGAGTATGAATTGTGGGGGACTGTGGGGGGCTAGCCAAGTCATATAGTACTTGCAGAGGGCCTTGGTGGGCTAGAGTGGGCTTCCTTTGCCACTGCAGGGACAGACTTAGGTGTGGCGTTTATTATGGTGGTTGTGGCGGGGAGAGGTGGGGAGGGGCCTGTCCATGACTAACACCAGTGACCTGTTAAACTTGCGCAATGTCAGGCGGATCTGCTGGAAGGGTGGTCGCTCCTGTGGGTCCTCTGCCCAGCACCGCTGCATCAGCTGCCCCAGCTCCTCCAGGTGGCTCTGCAGAGCCAGGGAGGGCCGGAAAGGAGGCTGCTCACCCCGAGTCACACGTTCAATGATCTCTGTGTTGGGAGGAGAGGAGCTGAAGACTGGGGTGACCCAAGGACCCAGTGAGTGATGGGCCAAGCTGGTGGGGTAGGTTGGGGACACTAAGGACTAGGGTAGGGGGTGGGGGGAGCTGGCAGCAGTGGAGCAAAGGATGGTGCCTGGGCTCCACTCCAGAAGGAATAGGTAGAGATGTCTCCAGGGCTCCCTGTCCCTGAGGCTAGGGTTAGTCAAACTGGCAGGGGTAGGGACAGTGTGCTCTTCTCACCTTTTGGGCTGAGGTCCAAACCTTCCACATGGAAGACCCCACTCCTCAGGGCAATCTCCTGAAGGATGATCCCAAAGCTGTACACATCACCAGCCTGGGAGCCCCGGGATGGGGGGGAAGACATTCGCAGGAGCTCAGGGGCTGTCCACAGCTTTTCTGTGGATCAAAGATCAGGAGTCACAGAGTGAGGTACAAAGCTAAGCGATAAGGGACCTTACATTCTGGTGGAAAAGAAAAACTAACAGATATAACAGTTTTATCCTTTTATTATTGCAAAACAATGCAATAATAAAAGTAAAACATTATAGTGTGATAATGCTGGGGAAAAGAGCATCAGATGGGGGGTTGAGAAAAGTTTTGACAAGACATGGTGGCACATGCCTATAATCACAGCTACTTGGGAGGCAGAGATCAGGAAGATTGTGGCTCAAAGCTAGTCAGCAAAAAGCTAGTGAGACCCCATCCCAACAAGCTGGGCGTGGTGGTGCATGCCTGTCATTCCAGCTATGTGGGAGCATAGGAAGGACTATGGTCTGAGGCAGGTCCTAGGAGAAAAACTCACAACCCTATCTGAAAAATAACGAAAGCAAAAAAAAAAAAAAGGGCTGAGTGTTGGATAAAGTGCCTACCTAGTAAGCACAAGGTCCTGAGTTCAAACTCCAGGACCATCAAAAAAAACAAAGGATAAGCTTTGAGGGCTAGAGGCGTGGCTCAAGCAGTAGAACACAGATTCACAAACACAAAGCCGAATCCCGTACCACCCAAACAAAACAAAACAACAACAGAAACCAAAACAACAAAAAAGTTTTAAACAAGACTGTGGCTGGGACTGGTCTGCACATATTGTATAGGTTTGAGAGCTGGAGCAGGCCTAGAGACAATTTAACCTGACCTTCCCTTTTGTGGTTGTTTTTATTTACATTTATTTTTGTACATATGGTGCTGGGGATCAAACCCAGGGCCTCATGCATGCTAGGCAAGTGCTGTACCACTGAGCTACACCCCCAGTGCACCTCCCACTGTTTACTAATAAGAATTGAGTCGGAGGCAGGAGAGGCATACCCAAACCCAGTAGAGGCCAAGCCTCAGTGTCCCTACTGGGCTGTGCTGGCAGTGGGCATTAGGAATCAAGAGTCAGGCTCACTGGCGAAGAGAGTATGTCCTTGTTCTGGCTCTGGGTCCCTGAAGCTCTCCAATCCGTAGTCGGTGATCTTAAGCACGAAGCGCCCGTCTACCACACAGTTGGATGACTTCAGGTTCCCATGGGAGCAAATGGCCCCGTTGTGTAGAAACAGCATTCCCTGGGAGGTTTGGAGAGGCAGAGATCTTGGGCATGGCCAAGAGAATATTACCCCTTCCCCCATCCAAGGGGCTCCTCTCTACTTACCTTGACAATGTCATTGGTGAGTGAGTACCGGAACATCCAGTCCAGGGTGATGCTCTCATTCTCCAGAATGTCCTACTGGGGCAGTGAGAGTCAGACCTGTACCCTGCAGACCCCCTGAGAGTAGGAGGAGGGTTCAAGGGTCCTACTGACCTAAACTGGTAGTGCCATCACCCTCCCCCACTCCCATTTTATAGATAGGGCAATAAAGGCCAGAAAGAGGGAGGCTTGCCTGGGCTGACAGGACAGGTCAGGAGCAAAGCCAGGTCAGGTTCCCTGACCCACCACCCACCCCTTGCTCCCCTCACCTGCAGGCTTCCACGGGGGCAGTACTCTGTGAGGATACAGATGTTGGGGGGGTCAGTGCAGGCACCCACAAACCTTGTCAAATGTTCATTCTGCACATCCCGCATCTGCAGGTGGGGGACAGCATCAGGGGCCTGGCAGAGACCTCACTCCTCACCAAATTGCCTGCTAGCCTTAAGGGACCCTTCCTAGGATTCTTCCTAATGCCCTCTTCATTTTCTGCTGGGATGTTCCCTGGTGATTTCCACCTGTGCTTGCCAACACGCCCTCCCCAGAATCTGTTCCTTGCTCCCTCAGCCTCCACATCCCCCGTCCCCAGGGGGCATCACATATGGCCTCTCAAGAACCTTCCCAGGATATCTCCAGTGATCTCCTTGTCCATCTTATGATTGATCCCCCTTCACCCAAAAACAAGATGCAAGACCCTAGGGTATCCTGCGGTCCCTCCATAACCACTTCTGCTGGTCAACTCCACCTTGCATCCATGGGACCCTCCCCAGGCCACCGCCTCATTCTCCCACATTACATGCTTGAGTTCAAACAGGACTTTTCGTGTCAACTCAATGCGTTTACGGTTCACATGCTTCACAGCCACGAGGTTGCCCTGGGCAAAGAATGGAGACTGTTGGGTAGGAAGGGGGCTGAGGGCAAAAGATGATGGGGCCAATGTAAATAATGTACAATATAAGTCTAATTGGAATTGTCACTATGAATCCCCTCTGTATAATGAGTATTTCCTAATAAAAAATTTATACATATGTATTTTAAAAAAGAATGGAAACTGTTGCTGTGCAGGGCATGGTTTGGTGACCTGAGAACTCCACCTGCTCCAACAGAACCCTCCCTCAGTCCTCAGAGCACACCCTCACCCCAGTCCCGAGGACCAGCACTCTTTCCCCAGGCCCACCTTATAGTATGCTGTCTTGGCAAACACTTGGAATTGGCCCTCTGTGGTTAGCAGGGAGCCGTAATTGGAGCCTCTCTGCAGGGATGGAGAGCAGGAGGCATGGTCAGCTCAAGGTCTGCATCCTGGGTGCTTGAGCTTTCATCTCTATTACCCTGCCTTATCTTTGTGTCACCCTCTTTGATGTGCTACATCATGAAATCCTCTCCTTATTAACTTGTTTGTAGTTGTATAGTCACATGGACTATATCTCCTTTGACCTTTGAAAGAGCCCTGTGAGGGAGGATCTCTCTCTGTAATCATCCAAGAGTCTCAGAGAAGGAATGTGACTTGCTCAAGGTCACACAGCAAGGGAAGGCAGAGCCGGGAGTAGAACCTTGCTCTCTACCCTGCCCGTTAGGCACTGCTTTTTGGTACCCAGGTCTCCACAGACACCAGTGCTCCTCCCCAGCCCCCCACAGATGCCAGTGTTCTCACCCCGCTCAGGGTCAGCCGGCTGCCTGCGCTCCGGAGGTGCCTCTCAAGGCTGCTGGGTTGCACGTCTTCCCAGCGCACCCGCCACAGCTCTGAGGCCAGCTCCTTCTCCAGCTGCATCTTCCTGGGGCATGAAGCCTGCATCTGAAACTCGGACCCTGGTGGGGGTGCTCATCAGCCCCTCCAGAGCCCTGGAACCTCTCCATGTGCTAAGAGATGAGTGGGGGAATTCTATTTCCTGGGTTGAGAGTCAGAAGGCCTGGGTGAAATTCTGCTTCACTGGAGGACATTGGAGTAGTCACCTCAATGTCCTCCTTTGGAAAATTGGGGGGCTCCATATCTACTTCATTCTTAACTGTTACAAGAGTGAGAAAATATGCCATGTGTGGAAGTGCCTGGCACACAAGTACATGCTCAGTCAGCATTGATTTTTCTCCCCTCCTTCCTCTTTCCTGTACCATTCACTTGCCCTGTTCTTTCATGTCTGCCTCCACTGGAAGGCAGGAATGGGGCTCATTCATCTCTCTTCTCCACTCTAGATTCAGCACCTGGTACATAGAACGTCTTATCATGGGTCCAGTTCCCAACGGTTTTGATCTACTGCTTCCCATCTGGCTCAGGATAGCAAGGAAAATGAGTTCCACTCCAGAATCCACTCTGCTATGTCACTCCCAACTTCTCTGCTCCTTCTTGCATCTCCCTGACCCTCCCAGGCCATTCTTATCCACATCCCTCTCTGCTCTCACTCCATTCCCTCTTCCTGCTGCCTTCTCTGTATCCTAAGGCTTTTTAGTGTCTTTTCTTTCCCCACCTACCTCGGTTTTCCCCTACTGTTCTTTCATCCCTTCCCCCTTCCCTCTGGGTCCCTGCCACCTCCTCTGCAGTTGGTTCTCCAAGTCTCCCCAGTCTCAATCAGTCCCCATGCCACAACTTACCTGTATATGAAGAAGGAGACAATCAAGATGCCAAGCAAGGAGAGGCTGCCCACCAAAGCCAGCACCTCCAGTGTGGAAAAGTGGTCTGCAGAGAGAGTCCAAGTTGTGACAAGAGAGATTTGGGTTAGGCAGAAGGAGGAACAGCCCTCTAATAGTCAACTGGTGAACGGAGATAACAGATGAAGGGAGAAAATGTAGGAGGAGACCCTGTCTTGAGGAAAGCTTCAGGTGGGAGAGGAGCATCTTTTTAATGCCCCTGGGGAGGAGGCAGCATCTCCAGAATGGAGGTCAGAAAGCAGGGGCCAGTCACCTTGGTTGCAGGCCGGGTCCTCATTGTCAAAGCCACATTTAGGGATGTCAGGAGGAGGGTACCCCAGGGGCCAGTATAGATTGTGCCCTGACACAGCCACCAGCTCTTGGGAAGTTCCATTGTAGTTCAGTACAACCTATGGGAGAGCAGGAATTTGGATAGCAAGGGCCTTGGCAAAGTGACCGTCAGTGCAGTGGTGCAGTCCTGCCTCGCCGCTACCCATCTCTGCTTCCAGGACCAGTATCTGGGCTGTCAGCTATTCACCAGGCCCCTGGTGTGACTGTGTGCAGAGATCTCACACACATGCCCATGTATCAAGGGCTTTATAGAGAAACCTCCATCTAGAACCCTACTCCTACACTCAACCAGGGAGTTTATGATCTTGGTTGAAGCACAGAAAACAGTACCGCAGTCCACATTCCCAAGCCTAATCCATGTACCCCTCGTCCAGGAAGCCTACCCTGGATGAGCTGATACGTGGTGCTTTTGACCTCAGCCTTTTCCTGTGCCCACTGCACTTCGGTACTGGGAATTGAAGTCAGGGCCTTGTACTTGCTAGGTAAGCACTTTACAACTAGGGTCACACCCTGGTCCCTCACTGCACTTAGAGAGCTGTTCCTATGCATTCCTCGTGGCCCTGAGTCCCTGTTTTGTTGAGAGGGGAAGTTCTACCTGCCTTAGGAACTCCCTAAGGGAAGGACTCTGCTTCCTCCTCAAATATGGAGCTCTCCAAGGACAATGACTGTGAGTCCCTATCATTCTGGTTTCTCTCCCAGACTGGAGCTGGATCTGTCTTGTCCAGGGCCCTCATAGGTATCCAGGCACGCAGGGTGACCACAGAATAAGCAGATGCCCTAGCAGGGCTGTATTGATAGGGTAGGTTGATGAGAGATTATTCTTAGTCTTCTGGGTGCACAAACTTACCCTGAAGGCGCCAGTCTCGGGATTCATATCCCAGAGAGAGAAGTCAGTCTCCCGGTCTCCGTTGCTGTCAATTTTCAGGAATCCGGTCACGCCTGTGGGCATGGGAGAAGATGGGTGTTTTGAGAAAGTGGAAGTTTAGCGATACCCACTTCATTTCTCCACTCCCTGACCTTCAACATATATGTATATGTGCAGAATAGTAATGAAAAGGACAGTTGTGTTGGCAGCATCAAGTTGGGCAGGACTTGATGGAAGTGGGAGATGAGGGGAGCAGGGCCTGATAGAAGCTATGGAAATTTCTTACCGAAGAGAATAAAGAAAAAGATGTGTGGGCAAGTGTTTATCTGTGCTGTGGGGCTGTAGACTTCTTGTGGCCTCCTACTGACACACCTGAGACTCCTCCCCTTCCCCCAAGGCAGCCCATTCCAGCTACCTCTAGGCCCTGACCTTGGAAGCTTCGGTTCCACATCCGCTGAGTGATGTCCTCCCCATCAGTGACAGTTCCCCCATGTGCCAGAGTCTCTGTCACTGCCTGGACATAGAGCAGGAGCCCATCATGGAAGGATGCTGGGATAGTGTTCTCCTGTGGGGCAAGCAGATCTCAGCCAGGGTGGGATGGATGAAGGGCACAGAGTGCAGTGTTGTGAGAAGGGAATGGGAAGTACTGAGAGCTTGGGAGGGGATGCAGAAAATGCCCACATTACAAGAGATGGGACTACTTAAAAGATGCCTTCACATATATCCCTTCTCTCTGAATAATGCTAGGCAGATAGGTCAGGGCATATTATCTCCATTTTATAGATGAGGACCTCAGGTTCAGGGTTGTGCTTGCCATTATCCCCTTCCAGCAATAGGCGAGATACAGAAACAACAGAAAGGGAGAAAAGGGGAGACCAGGGAATACTGAGATGGTTGAGAGAACAGGGGACGGAGACTGCCCAGAGGTCCATGAGTAGGGGCTGGAGGTCCACACTGGAGGGTCCCAAAATCCCTCCTACCAGACCATCCTCCATGGTGAAGTTGAACTCCTCTTGGGCCAAGAGTTTTAGTTGCTTCAGGAATTCCAAGTACTCAGGATTATCCGGTTCTTTATAAGTAATGATTTTGGCAGCCTAAGTGAGGGGTCAGTGGAGAGACAAAATGCCGGGAGCTGACTTCAGTTCTCCCAGTACTGGCCCCAGTTGCCTGGGATTCCACCTCCCAGACCTGCTTCTCTGCTTAGGTCAAGGTCAAACTGGACTCTGTCCTGCATGAGGTGATGTCTGCTCTTGAGCAAGGGATTCAAGTCCTGTCCAGTCTTCCCACTTCAAGCTTGTTTTCTTATCTGTTTAGCCTTCTGACTCTGAAGTCCCATGCCTTTCTTTGCCTAACTCCCTGTGAACATCAAGAACCTCTTTTCTGTCTGGGCATGGTGGTGCACGCATGTAAACTCAGCACTAGGGAAGCTGAGGCAGGAGGATTGAGAGTTAAAAGCCACCTGGGCTACAAAGGAACCCCTTGTCTCAAAGAAAAAAAAAAGTTGTTTTGTTTTTTCTGCAATCCTTGCTAACACTTTAGGGGCACAGTGCCTGGAAACTATATACCACCAGCTCAGAGTCCCACAGCCTGGGGTTCAAACCCAGGTACTCACCTGAAAGGCCTGGCGTGCACTGACATCCTGCCCATCCTGTCTCTCCCAGGGTCTAGGTGGTTCGGGGCCCTTTGCCCCTTGCAGGCTTTGTCCAAACACATCGAGGTGGAAGAAAACATAGTCCTCCCCAGTAAGGCCAGCCTCCAGGGCCAGGAGCATCAGGGTCCTGAAGGTGTCTGGGGAGCTGCAGATGTAGATAACTGGGGAGGAAGAGGGAGTCAGAGAGAGGGAGAAGGGTAGGATGTTGGGGAGAAGGGGAGAAAAGGAGAAAGGGAGAGAAAGTTGTAAGCTGGTGGCAGTTAAATAGCAACTCTGACTCAAGACTAGGCACTGTCAGGAGAAAGAGAAGAAGGGTTGGAGCAGGACGTGTAGAGGTGGAAGGGGAAGCAGAGCTGGAGAGAGGGGGAAAGGAGAGCACAAGATAGTGAGGGTGGGACTAAGAGTCCAAGGAGAGGGAAAGAAGGGCTAGCTGGAGAAGGGATAGGTGAGAGGGTGTGGAGGAGGGGAGAAAGCTGTAGGGTAGAGAAAATGGGAGAAAAAAGGGATGGGAGCATAAGGAGAGGTGAAAGGGCTTGGGGTGGGGGGCGAGGAAGAGAACAAAATAGAAACTCAGAGGTAGAAAGGGTTAGAGAGGCTGGGACAGGGATAAAGAGATGGAAAAAGACTGGTTAGAGGAGAGGGAGAGGAAAGCTAGTGCTTTGCACAGGTCAAAAAGAACTCTCACCTCGGCCTTTACGCCGCACGGTGCGCAGCAGCATAGTGTAGTGGTCGTGATCTCCCTCGCCGAACTCCAGGTGGTCTACTGTGATGTTGAGGCGCTCACGGACCCGCATGTACAATCCCTCCACTACAAAGAAGCAGGGCTGGTCGTCACCCGGCCGGTAGGCGTAGAGTACAAGCGCCTGGCGCTCCCAGCCCAGCCGTCGATGCAGCGCAGCCACGAAGTCGCCCAGCTTGGCGTGGCTTGGCCCCGCGCGGGTGGTCAGTGCGTACTCCTCCTTGGCCCCGAAGCCCAGCGCCGGGGCGCCGGCGGTCAGCAGCGGCACCCGCCAGTGCGCGGTGAAACGTCCCACCGGGGCGGCGGCGTACACGCAGCCAGGACCCAGGAACACCGCGGGGTTGTGCTCCCACTTGAGGTCCACTGCGGCCAGGGGCGCAGTGGTGTCCGAGCAGGCGCCCAGCGCGTTCTCGCTGCTGCCCAGCACCGTACGGATGGTCCAGCCTGGCAGCAAATCGGGTCGCGCCTTCACTCGAGCGAGAGCCAGCTTCACGGCCGGTCCCACGCGAGCCCACGACCACGGGTACGAGGTGTTGGCCAGTGGCAGCACCACGGCTACCGTCAGGTCGCCCGCATGGCTACCCCGGAGCAGCAGCAGCAGCGGCGGCAAAAGCAGGAGCAGGAGCACAAGAAGGCGCGGGCGGGCGCCGGTGGAGCGCTGGGGCCCCAGCATGGCCTCAGTGGGCACAGCGGAGGGCGAGCGCTCCCACCATGGTCTCTTCCGTGTCCTCGGGCTTAGCGGCCCGTTCTGGGCATCAGGCGCGCCCCTGTGGACAGGAGCAGGAGCGGATCGGGGGCGCTCCCCGGGGATACGCTATTCCCCGTGGCTGCGATTGTCAGGGCGGAGAGCGCGAGAGGCTGGGCGCGCGACGTAGGGGTGAACGGAGGGCGCCACGGAGCAGGTGGGCGTGAGGAGAGCGCCTGGTCGGAGACGATCCGATGTGAGCGAGCGAGGGAGCGAAAGGAAGAGCTAGAGAGAGAAAAAGAGAGAGTAAGAAAGCGCTAGGGAAGAAGGATGGGAGAGGGCGCGAGAAGCAGGAAAGGGGAGTGTGTGTTCGTGGGCGTGCGTGAGCGCCTGCCCCAGGGAGTGTGCCAGAGGGGGCGTCTGGTCGGCCCAGTCTACGGCTGTCGGGGGGGAGGGGTACCGACGAGGACCCAAGCCAAGCTCCGAACCCTCCCTCCCAGCTGCTTCCCCTCCCAGACTCGGTGACCCAGGAGCCCGAAGAGCCAATCCTGGATCTTTAACTCCTTCTTCCCTGTCCGAAGTCTGCGGCTCGTGGCTCGCCTCTGCCCCTGCCCGCAAGCTGATCGCTTAGCCTCTCTTCTCGCAGCTCTGTCGCCCGACGTCTTCCGCCCCGGGGGAGGCGCCCTCGCCGGGATGGGGAGTGGGGGGACCTGCCAAGGGGCCGATGGCACCCCACCTCCTACCTGGATCTCTGGGGAAAAGGAAAAGAGGTGCGGGTTTGGAGTCTTGGCAAGAAAAGGTGTGAGTGCGTGGACTTTTATGTCTGGGGGATGAGGCGGGAGGTGACGGGTTTCTGGAAGAGGCATTGAAGTAGAGGCGAGCAAGAGGCTTGGTTACCTAGTCCATCCATGATGTCCCTCCCTTTCTCTCTTCTTGGCCTCCCAGACCCTGCGCATTAGCCTGGAAAAAGGACCAGGTGGGAGGGCGGAGTTAACTCGTTAGTGCCCAAAATCGTGGGAAGGTGAGGAGAGCGGGTGTCTGGCCAAGAAGGAGGAGTTGGGGGAAGAGGTGTATCCTCATAGAAGTGTGTTTTGTGTCAAAGAAGATCATCACAGAAATAGAATCTGTGATGGCAGTGGAAGGTAGCGTTGGAACGACCGTTTGAAGGCGTAAACTGCGAAAAGAGTTCGGGGCACTTGACCTCTGGGTCCCTGGTCCCTGGGATCAGTCTGCCCTCTAATGGTAGACAGGCGTCATTGACCACATTGCGCGGCCAACCGCGCGCGCAAACACGGACCTAACTTCAGCCAACATTTTCAGAAGACCTTCTGTGCGTCAAGTGCTCTGTAGCTGTCAAGAGCATAAAGATGAATTCATATAATCCGTGCCTTTGAGGACATATAGCCATAAAGTGCATCAATATACATTAAGTACTGCAACGGAGACATGGATAAATTGCTAAGGGGTCCAAATGAGGGTTATTAATTCTGCCTGAATGGGGGCCAGGAAGATTTCCAGTGAGAAATGATTCAACAAGGATAGAAGGATGAGAAAGGTATTCTGTGTAGACAGAACAGAATATTGAAGTATATTTCCTATGTAGGGAATTTTATGAGACGTTTTAATAGTCTTACTGTCTAGAGCCGATGGCCCAATGGTCAATTTTAGATGGCAGAGATTCTTTGCTAGGCTTGCCTTCTCTCTATATATTTTATTTAATTGCCCAAACTTAAAAATCAGCAGATGGTGTATGAATATTTGGATTTCTTGAAATATTGGAAGAGCTAGCAGTAAATGTCCTGCATCCCTCCATGAACAATCAACTGGGGTTTTTGCCTGTGCTTGGGCTTGAACCCAGGATCTCTGTATGCAATGCAAGTGTTCTACTTTGACTACACACTCAACCCCACGGAACAGATAAATCTAGTTCATTATATGGCTTCACACAGGTACATTACCTGCCTGGCTGCAGTAAGAGTTTGTGTTTTCAACTCTGATCTGGGATGTAAGGTGTGTGCATGTGGGAATGACTGAGGAGGAGAGGCTGGAAAGAGAGCAAAAGAGGGCAGATTGTCAGGTGCGGGTGGCTCACACCTGTAATCTAGCTACTCAGGAGGCAGAGAGTAGGAGGAGTGCAGTTCCAAGCCAGCCCCGGACAAATAATTCTGCAAGACCCTATCTCGAAAAAAACCATCACACACACACACACACACAAAGGCAGATCATGAAAGCTTTTGTGTGTCAGGCATAATAACTTTGTTCTACAGTGGCATCCAGATGTAGAGATAGATAGGGGATAGGGAGATGTTTTGTAAGAGGAATCTGTTGGACTTTGAAAATGGAAGGGTCTAAGTGACATTTACCCCATTAGTTGAGAAGTTGAAGGTTTTGGGAAGATGACAATTTTAGTTCACTGAGTTTAAGGTGCCTATAGATACCTATTGGAGGTGTCCAATAGGCTTCTGGATTGGTGGAGCTGAAGCTCAGAATAAATGACTGGATTAGAACTATAGCTAGGTAATTGAGCTCTTCTCAGTAATGGTGGACTCACTTTAGAACTTCAGACAACTAAAGTGTTGGATGAAATGTGTGTGTGTGTGTGTGTGTGTGTGTGTGTGTGTGTGTGTGTTGCAAGGGATCAAACCCAAGGGTTTGTCCATGCTCTATTACTGAGCTATAATCCTAGCCAGATAAAATGTTTTTAAAAAATTAAAATCAGCCAAGAGCAGGTTGCTCACGCCTGTAATCCTAGCTACTCAGCAGAGATCAGGAGGATTGAGGTTCGGAGCCAGACTGGGCAAATAGTTTGAGAGGCCTTATCTTGAAAACACTCATCACATAAAAGGGCTGGTGGAGTGGCTCAAGGTAAAGGCCCTGAGTTCAAGCCCCAGAACCACACACACAAAAAAAATCTAAAATTAGAGGTACGGATGTGCCTCAGTGGTACAGCATTCACCTAGCCATGTGCAAGACCCAGGATTTGGTCCCCTGCACCTCAAAATAAAATATAAAAGAACTAATGAGGACTTCTTGGTGTAAGAATGTGAAGAACAGGAAAGCAGAGAGCTGACTTGACCCTAGGGTTATTTGCTGAACAGTGACATAAAATAGGTTGTGTGGAGCTAGTGAGACAAAAATTGAAGTCCGTATCATGTCCCCATAGATAAGAACTCTTAGTAAACCACTTTCCTGTTCTGGATTAGGATCCTCAGAAGACTATTCTCTTAGGGGAAACCTGGGAGTAAGTTAAACCAGACATAAATAGAATATCTAGATCCAAAATATTTAAAAACCAAAGTTAAGAACCAATCCATAGGCTTACCAGCAGATTAGACTAGACTGAGTACTGAGTAGTGAATTGGAAGACAAGACCAAAGAAACTACCCAGGGGCCTAAGGAGTGGCTCAGGTGGTAAGAGTGCCTGCCTAGCAAGTGTGAGGTCCTGAGTTCAAACCCCAGTATGGCCAAAATTAAAAAGAAAGAAAGAAACTACCCAGAATGAAGCATGGATAAAAAGGAATGAAAAATATAAAACAGAGGGTAAGAGACAAAGAGAATTGTGGGAGAAAGTTTAACATGTATTTGTTAGAAATACAAGAAGGAGAGAAATAAAACCAATATTGGAAGAAACAATGGCTAAGAAATTTCAAAAATGGACGACAGACACCAAGACATGGATTCAAGAAGCTCAACAAACCTCAAGCAAGATTTCAAAGGAAAAAAAGCCATATCCAGACTCATCAGGGTGAAACGTAGGATGTTTAGATCAGGAATCTGGTTTCTTTAAACTAGAAAAAAAAAAGGATCAATTAACTCAAAGAAGCAACAAGTACATTGATAACTTTTATTCACAGCATATTCATGGACGGTAGAATAGTATTGTAAATGTGCTGAAAGGAAATAATTTCCAGTCTAAAATTCCACAGTCAGAGAAAAGGTCCTTTAAAAACGAAAGTGGAATTCACAATAGCCAAGTTATGGAAACAGCCAAGATGCCCCACCACCGACGAATGGATTAAGAAAATGTGGTATCTATACACAATGGAATTTTATGCAGCCATGAAGAAGAACGAAATGTTATCATTCGCTGGTAAATGGATGGAATTAGAGAACATCATTCTGAGTGAGGTTAGCCTGGCCCAAAAGACCAAAAATCGTATGTTCTCCCTCATATGTGGACATTAGATCAAGGGCAAACACAACAATGGGACTGGACTTTGAGCACATGATAAAAGCTTTAGCACACAAGGGAGGGGTGAGGATAGGTAAGACACCTAAAAAATTAGCTAGCATTTGTTGCCCTCAATGCAGAGAAACTAAAGCAGATACCTTAAAAGCAACTGAGGCCAATAGGAAAAGGAGAACAGGAACTAGAGAAAAGGTGAGATCAGAAAGAATTAACCTAGAAGGTAACACCCACGCACAGGAAATCAATGTGAGTCAATGCCCTGTATAGCTATCCTTATCTCAACCAGCAAAAACCCTTGTTCCTTCCTACTATGGCTTATACTCGCTCTTCAACAAAATTAGAAATAAGGGCAAAATAGTTTCTGCTGGGTATTGAGGGGGTGGGGGGGAGAGGGAGGGGGCGGAGTGGGTGGTAAGGGAGGGGGTGGGGGCAGGGGGGAGAAATGACCCAAGCCTTGTATGCACATATGAATAATAAAATAAAAAAATGAAACAAACAAACAAACAAACAAACAAAAAAACCCCACAAAAGTTGAATAGTCATACTCAGACAAACCAAAACCAAGAGAATCAGCTACCAGAAATAGGGCATGAAATTCTCAAGCACAAGGAATATAATTCCAGATAGAAGGATAGAGATTCAGGAAAGAATAAAGAGCATTAGTAATAAATTTAAGTGCCTGATCTACATGACTATTAGCATTAATATTTTGTGAGATTTAAAAAATATAAAGAATTTAAATTCTGTACATATATATACCTACACCTGCCCAGAGAAGCGAATGTGGCTGATCACAAGAGACTGTGTACAAGTGTTCAGAGCAGCTTTTTTCATAATGGCCTTAAACTGGAAATAACCCAAGTGTGTACACACATGCTTCAATGAGTTAGATGTCCTGAATTCATCAACAGGAGAATGGATAAACAAACTGGTATATTTATATAATGGAGTGTTACTTAAAAAAAAAAAAAAACCAGATTGCTGTGTTGGTGGACTGGCTCAATTTGTGGAGTGCCTGTGTAGAAAGTGTGAGGCCCTGAGTTCAAACCCCAGTTTAGAAGAAAAAAAAAAGCAGATTGCTGATACATGCAAAACATGGACAAGCAAAAGAAGCTAGACAAAGCTGGGCCCCAGAGGCTCAAGTCTGTAATCCTAGCTACTCCAGAAGCAGAGATCAGGAGGATTGCAGTTCAAGGTCAGCCCAGGCAAAACAAACAAAAAAGTGAGGCTGTATCTTAAAAGTACCCAACCAATACAAAAAGAAAGGCTAGTCTGGATCTATTTATGGAAACTCAAGAAAAGATAAAACTAATATGTGATGATCAACATCACAATAGTTACTGCCTTTAGGATCAAAGCAAAGGAACACCAGAAAAAATTTTTTTAAAACATTATTGTACTGGGAGTACATTGTGACATTTACAAAAGTGCTTACAAACAATATATTATAGCTAAATTCACTCCCTCCATCATTCTCTTTTCTTCCCCCCTCCCCCACCAGTGAACATTTTAATGTGTAAAAATATTATTTTGCTGGGGTAATGGCTGGCTCTTTAAGGGGTGGAGTGTGTGTCTAGCAAATACAAGGCCTTGAGTTCAAACCTTACTATTGCAAAAATAAATAAATAAAACCAAATATTTTAATCTGGGTTGTGATTACGTGGAAGAAATACATTTACACTTAAGATCTATGCATTCTGTGGTAGTAAATTATACATTAATAATGAATCACACAACAGTGGAATATAATTCTGGGGGGAGTGATGGTGGCAAAAGCAGCTGCTAAAGGTTGAAGTTTTGAGGAAGAACAAATACGTGTTTATTGAAGAAATGTGAGGTGCTTGCATTACTCTGGAAAGCAAAGGATAAAAAGAACCTAATAGCAGAGGATGGTTTCGATCCATCGACCTCTGGGTTATGGGCCCAGCACGCTCCCGCTGCGCCACTCTGCTCACGCGCAAATGAGTCTTATAATTCTTATGGAAGGTTCTCTGCCCGAATTGTTCTGACTTCTTAGCCCAGCGCCATCTAGCATTTGCTCAAAAAATTGTTGCCAGTACTGTTAAGCCCTTTGCTATTGGCTGGTTCTGACACAGTAGTCTTTTTTTACTGGTTCCTAAGTAAACCAAGGCATCAGGGGCGGGGAAAGGCGGGAGCCAATCGCGCTGAGTTTTGTTGGCAGAGGCGCCGGCAAGTCGCCTCTCCAGTTGTCCGCTCTTCGCAGGGAAGGGGCGGTTGGTGCGGCCTCCATTGTTTAGGACTAAGGACACCATGAGGTAAGGGTATTAAGGTGCTCGGAAGGGTTTCCCCAAAAGCTGTAGGATCAAGGGCCATGCATCCGGCGGCTGGTCCAGAACCTGACAGCTTCTGGCCTGCTAGGGTAAGGTAGTTTGAAGGCCAGCGATGGCGGGGGAGCGGGCCTGGGATGGTTGGGGCCCAGGAGTGGGGAGGCGGGTTGGACACCTCGGTCTCTGGGGTTGAGATGAGGGGGTGTCACCAGGCTCGGGCGGAGCACCCCCTGTCTAGACTGAGAAGGTTGTCATGGAGGTGGAGCTGGGTATCGTTTGGAATGGGGAGAAGCGTTAGCCGGCGTGGGGTCCCCGCTGGCGTAGGGAGGTTGAGAGCAATGGTGAGAAGCCAGTTTGAAAGGACAGGGTCGGTAAGGTGGCGATTGCTCCCATAAAACCAAGTTCAAATCTGCATTTCTAGGGGCGACAGAGGTCGTGGCCGCGGCGGGCGCTTTGGTTCCAGAGGCGGGCCAGGAGGAGGGTAAGTGCCAGTTTTCAGCATCTTTGCAAATGAATTTGAAGTGCAACGTGTTACTTGACTTCGTGAGAGCCAAGCATGGTTTGGAAACATTTTCCTGGTGCCCTGCTACGTGAATTTGGCTCCACTTTGCTAAGAAGGATACCTTCCAGAAAACGGTCTTCCATTCCGGAGACAGACATGCTTCCAAAATTGCTGGTGCGTTGTATACATTTTGCTTGATTTTTGTTTGGTGAATAATTTGGACTGTTTCTCATGTTTCAGATTCAGGCCCTTTGTGCCACATATTCCATTTGATTTCTATTTGGTGAGTACCCTGGGTTAGTATGAGTTTCCTGGCTACTGTTAACTTATAGAAGTAGAAATGGAGCCCAACCTCTCCTTGTTAATGAACTCAGATGGTGCTTGGACTTGGAAAAGAGATTTATGAATGAAGTTGGGATTTAAAATTTATATTTATTTATTTTTATTTTATTCATATGTGCTAAATTTATTTTTGTAGCTAGTTTTGGTGCTGGGGATTGAACCAAGTTCCTTAATGTGCCAAGCAAGGGTTGTACCACTGGTCTACATCCCCAACCCTTAATTTTTTTTTTTTGATGGCACTGGAATTTGAACTCAAGGCCTCACACTTGCTAGTCAGGCACTCTTACCACTTGAGCCACTCTGCCAGCCCTAATTTTATTTTTGATTAACATATATACATTAATGGGGTTCAGTGTGATTCTTCAGTACATGTATGAAGCATGCATTGATCAAATCTAGTCTCCCTTTGTGCACCCTCTCCCCTAGAGTTGGGTTTTGAGTCAACTGTGTTACTTTACATACAAAAACAATGCAAGCAGAGTAGGAATGATAATTCCCTGGGCACGTGATTAATTCTTCTGAATAATTGTATCTCTGTCAATACAAGGTAGTAAGAACTTAAGTTAAATTAAGGCTTTTTCTAGCTTGTATCCTTGTTTTTTTTTTTTTTTGGTGCTACTGGGGTTTAGTGTGAAATGGCCTTCCCCCGGGTCAAGCCAGCACCGGATGAAACTTCCTTCAGTGAAGCCTTGCTGAAAAGGAATCAGGACCTTGCTCCCAATTCTGCTGAACAGGTGTGTTCTTTTTGCTTTTTTCCTAAGAAAGTTAAAAATGTGAGTAGTCATTAGTGAGGTTAAGAAGAGTGTTGTCCGCCCGAAGTTACAGTTCAGTGACACAGTGCTTGCTTAGCATGCATGGAGTCCCTGGTTTTCTTTTTTGTGGCATTGGGGTTTGAACTTAGGGCTTCATACTTGCTAGGCAAGCGCTCTACTACTTGAGCCACTTCGCCAGCCTGAGGTCCTCTGTTTGATCTCTAGCAAGAGTTGTCAGGAATAGATTCTATAGGGCATTCTCCTTATTTTTCATTGTAGGTGGAGATAGGCAGATGAATGTATAAATGATTATGTATGCATTTATGTTTTTATAAGAAAATCTAGTTCATGTTATCCATGTTCTCTTGTTATACACTCAAGATCAGCAGTGTTGAAGTGTTTCCAAAGCCCTACATCAGTTTTGAGTTAGTTGTATGGAAAGGATTAAGGGAAAATATTCAAAAGTCTGAGAAGTTTCATGTTATTTTTGACCTTAGAGTATAATTACTTCATGTTTTTCAGGCCTCTATCCTTTCTCTGGTGACAAAAATAAACAATGTGATTGACAATTTGATTGTGGCTCCAGGGACATTTGAAGTGGTGAGTTTTTGATGATGTCCTAAGAAAAGCCATTCTTGGTAGTGTGGAAGTATCCTTGACTTCATCTGTTAACTTTTCAGTTGCCTGTTATTCAAATCCAACCTAAAATGGAAATGTACAGAGGAATTCTGGAATCCTTTGTAGTGCTGATCTTGGGGACAAGATTTGTATCATTGTCAGCTAGCTGTCATATAACCAGGCTTTCATGTGGTTGTATTTAGGATATGATTTCATTATTACTGATTCCAAATCTGGGTAATTAAAAGCATTGTTGAAACAGTTCTGGGAAAAACGACATCATTATTAGACATCATTATTCTTCTAAATATTTTCCTGAAATGAATCTTTCTGACAGCAAATTGAAGAAGTCCGACAAGTAGGATCATATAAAAAGGGAACGATGACTACAGGACACAATGTGGCTGACCTGGTGGTAATACTAAAGATTCTGCCAACATGTGAGTTTTCTCCCCCCGCCCCCCAACCTTCCCTCCCAGGGCCTTATGCTTGTTAGGGAGGTGCTCTACCACTCCCTAGCCCACATCCCATCTGTCTTGACACTGCAGTTTGGTTTGGGGCCCAGGACTCTTTCAAGTCCAGCTTCTGGGGAAGACACAGGAGAATTATTTTTTGGTGGGACTGGGCTTTGAACTCAGGGCTTTGCGCTTGCAAAACAGGCACTTTGTTTGAGCCACGCCTCTAGTCTATTTTGCTCTGGTTATTTCAGAGATGGGGTCTCCTGAACTTTGTGCCCCAGCTGGTCTCAAACTTTGATCTTTTTGGTTGTCATAACTAGGGGGTGCTACTGGCATCAAAAGGGGATAGAAGCCAAAGATGCTACTAAACATCCTACAGTATACAGGACTCCTGCCACCCCCTGCAAAGAATTACCCAGCCCAAAATATCCTAAGTGCCACTGACTTGAAAAACCCTGCTGTAGAAAAAAGATCTGAGGGCCTAGGGTGTAGCTTAAGGGATCAGAGTGCTTGCCTAGCATGTGCGGTCTTGGGTTCAGTCACTAGTACAGTGAACAGCAACAAAAAAAGATATAAAAGTGCTCAAGTTGGTAGCACCTACACTAAAGTTGGAAGGATACAGAAAAGATTAACATAGCCCCTGCTCAAGGATGACACACAAATTTGTGAAGCACTCTGTATTTTTAAAAATTTTTAAAAAGATGTGAGAGATTAGTAGGTGTCTTATTCCCTGAACCTCTGCCCAGGCCTTAACTTCCCCTTGTAAAAGTGTTTATTCTAGCCAAGTGCTGGTGACTCATGCCTATAATCCTAGCTACTCAGGAAGCAGAGATCAGGAGGATTGTGGTTCCAAGCCAGCCCAGGCAAATAGTTTGTGAGACCTTATCTCACAAACTATTACAAAAAGGGCTGATTGAGTGGCTCAAGTGGTAGAGTGCCTGCCTAGCAAGCATGAGGCCCTGAGTTCAAACCACAGTGCTGCCCAACCCCCCCCACCCCCCCAAAAAAAGTGTTGTATTCTGTTACAGCCTTTGCTGTACTCTTGAATATGGGGTAGAAATGAGAATGCTGAATAGCTTAGAGATATTTAGAAAGTCTACATAAATAGATTTATTATAACATTCTTTGTCTGCTTTTCTCTCAATCTAGTGGAAGCTGTTGCTGCCCTGGGAAACAAAGTTGTGGAAAGCCTGAGAGCACAGGATCCTTCTGAAGGTTTGAGTTTGTTGCTGAATATGCATTTAGCGGCAAAAGAAGCTGGGTCCTATCAGTATAAATACACTGTGAAATCAAGCTAGATAGAAGAGTAAATGCAGAGTTTTATGTTGTGGAAGTTTTTGACAGGAGTCTCAGCTATTCAAAATTCTATTTGATTTTCATTCTAAAGTTCTATTCTAAATCCTCATTTTGAGTCGTGTCCCTCCTCCCCCCATTCTCTGCTAGACAAGTTCTGTACATTTTTGTTTTCAAAATATCTCTAGCCTTTTGTTTTTAAAAGCCCACAACAGCCAGGCATGATGGCTCATACTTGTAATTCTAGCTACTTGGGAACCTGAGATCATAATTGTGGTGTGAGGCCATCCTGGGCAAAAAAGTTTGAGAGACTCTATCTCTAAAATAATCAGATAATAATGGAGTGGAGGTGTGGTGCCAAACAATAGAGAGCACCTGCTTTACCAGCATGAAGCCCTAGGTTCAAACCCCAGTCCCACCAAAAAGCAAACAAACAACACAACAAAACTACTACCAACAAATAAACCATTTAAGCTTGGTGTGGTGATGTATACCTGCAATCCTAACACTTGGGAGCTGAGGCAGAATGAATGCTAGTTGAAGACCAGTTTGGGCTACTTACATGGTGAGATGTTTCAAGAGGGGAAAAAAATTCCCACTGTTTTCCCTCTGTCTGTATTTAAACTTATGAAAATGAATTAACAGTGTTTGATTATTTTGTTCTTTCAGTTTTGACCATGCTAACCAATGAAACTGGCTTTGAAATCAGTTCTTCTGATGCTACGGTGAAAATTCTCATTACAACAGTGCCACCCAATCTCCGAAAACTGGACCCAGAACTCCATTGTTAGTCTCTTTTTTTACATTGCTGGGAAATATGGGGGAAACCCAAAATGTATTGTTGCTGCTGATTTTGCTTTAGTTGTTTGGAAATTTAAATACTTAAGTTTACCCTGAGGTTTGCTTTTTCCCTATATTTGGGAGAAGATTTTCCAGCTTTGTAATGAAAATTTTAAAGATAGGATGACCAAGAAAACAGTTGGAAGACTTAAAAAAAGACTGCAGAAATACTTGTAGAGGGGATAGATTTTTGGAAAAAATAATGGATCTTGTGTGTTTCTAGATTTGGTTTGAGGGAGCAATAGTGTTTTTGGACAAGTGGTTTGTTTGTGTAAAAAACATGGGATGGTTTAAGGAACTGCTGTTAGCCTACCCTCTTTCCAAGTTTTTGGACTGTAGCATTAGGATTGAATTGCTTGCTTAATAATAGGAATGTTTCATCTTGGCCTGTTATACTTCTCTTGTAGTGGATATCAAGGTGTTGCAGAGTGCCTTAGCAGCCATCCGACATGCTCGCTGGTTTGAGGAGAATGCTTCTCAATCTACGTGAGTCTCCTTGAACAGCTGGGTGTGGTGGTACATGCCTGTGATTCCAGTACTTGGGAGGCCAAAGCAGGAGGGTCTCAAGTTAGAGACCAGCCTGGGCTATTTAGTGAGTTCCAAGTCACTTAAGACCCTGTTTCAAGCAGGTGCTGTTGGCTTACCTGTAATCTTAGCTACTCAGTAGGCAGAGATCAGGAGGCTTGAGGTTCAAAGCCAGCCCCGGCAAATAGTTTATGAGACTCTATGGAAAAAACCCATCAAAAAAAAGGCTCATGGAGTGGGTCAAGGTGAAGGTCCTGAATTCAAACCAACACCACAAAAAAAACCCACCTTTTTCAAACAAACAGAAAAAGGTAACCTTTCTAACTAATGAATAGCAGGATGCATCTGTACTTCCTCTAACAGAGAACTGTTTTGGCCATGATCCAAATTAAGAGCAAAAGAGAATAGTTTTATAAATAGTATGGTCAGCTTCAGTTCTTCCTCAGGTGTTAGAAATATATGATCTCACTGCTTTTAATCCTTGGGTTTCTCTTACATTTAGAGTTAAAGTTCTCATCAGATTGCTGAAGGACTTGAGGATTCGTTTTCCTGGCTTTGAACCCCTCACTCCTTGGATCCTCGACCTACTTGTAAGTAAAGAAGGACATCTGAGTTCCTCTTGACAGTAGTTACTCTGAAACCTACCATAATCAGTAATTTGGTGATGCTTAAAAGAAATTTGGACTGGATATTGGTTGTGCATCCCTCCACTTGGAGGCTGAGGCACGAGCATCTTAAGTTTGAGGACAGACTGGGGTACATAGCAAGACCCTATCTCAGAAAAGCAAACAAAAAGGTTTTAGAAGCTGCATGCCTATAATCCCAGCTAAGACAGGAGGGTTAAAAGTATGAGGCCAGCCTGGGCTAAATAGTGATACCTCAAGAAAAATTTGGTAGACAAGTAATTCAGTAAGATTCAAATGAAGGTTGGAGGTGTGGCTCGAGTGGTAGACTGCCTGCCTTAAAAGCATGAAGCCCTAAATTCAAATCCTAGTCCCACCAAAAAAATTAAAAAAATTCTTGGCCAGGTGCTGGTGGCTCACACTTTAATCCTAGCTACTCAGGAGGCAGAGACCAGGAGGATCTATTAGAAGCCCCCCAGGCAAATAGTTCACAAAACCTTATCTTGAAAATACCCAATACAAAACAAGGCTAGTGGAGTGCCTCAAGTGAGGCCCTGAGTTCAAACCCTAGTACTGCTGAAAAGAAAAAGAAAAAAAAAATTCAAATGAATCAAAAAGATTTATTGTATTTTTGTAGTATTTGGTGTGTTTTCATTACTGTTATAATTTCATTATTGTGACTCTGGAGAGAAATGAGCAGCCATTTCAGATTTTTTTTTTTTTTTTTTGTGCAGCTGGTTTGAATTTGGCTTTGCCTTGTAAAGCAGGTGCTTTGCTGGTTGAGCCACACTTTCAGCTCATTTTACTATGGTTATTTTGGGAACATGGTCTCGAACCGTTTGCCTGGGTGTCCTCAAATTGTGATCCTTCCAATCTCAGCATGAGCCACCAGTGTCCAACTCAGAATTCTTTAATGTGAAAATTTTAACATTAAAATGTGTATTTCAACGTCTTATTTTTCTCATTTAGTTTATTTGAAGATAGAATTGTCACTTTGGTTTCCACACATCCACCAGGCTTAATTCTTTTCCAGGGGCACTATGCTGTGATGAATAACCCTACCAGGCAGCCTTTGGCCCTAAATGTGGCATACAGGTACAGTATGCTTTTTTGTTTTTTCGTTTAGATGCTGTCCTTTTAAATGTTTTTATTAGTATGTAATAGTTATGTGTGTGGGGGGTGGGGAGTTTTTGTTAACATTCCCATATATGCATACAACATACTCGGTTTGTCTTATCCCCTTCCCAACTTCCTTTTCCCTCTTTCTTCAAATGGCTTCAACAGGTTTCAGTGTTCCATATTCATACTACACCATGCTTCTTTAGATTTGGGCTATAAGCTATTTTGTGCACTTTTAATACCTCCCTATGTTTCAGGCGTTGCTTGCAGATTCTGGCTGCAGGACTGTTCCTGCCAGGTTCAGTGGGTATCACTGATCCCTGTGAGAGTGGCAACTTCAGAGTACACACGGTCATGACCTTGGAACAGCAGGTATTAGAACAGCTAAGAAATGGTCTGTTCAGACCCACTCTTGAATACTCCGGGTCAGAAGACTAAAGGAATATGGTCTTACGGGGTCAGAGATGTGGAGGTCTCCAAGGACTTTGGTCTTGAGATTAAAATTTGTCTTCTCATGGTTTTCACAAGGATATTAGTTAAGTCAAGTACTTTTATTCTCTTTGCTAATTTATGCCCACCTTGCTCTCCCTTAGGACATGGTCTGCTACACAGCTCAGACTCTGGTTCGAATTCTCTCACATGGTGGCTTTAGGAAGATCCTTGGCCAGGAGGGTGATGCCAGCTGTGAGTACTGTGGTGTGGGTCAGGGGTTTCTTAAGCTATTCTGATCTATAGGGAAGCTGTAACTACTCACATGTCTTAATATTTCTACTGTGCATATGATCACTTGTTTGCTGGGCTATTTCTCTGAAGTCCTTTTTTTCTCTTCTAGATCTTGCTTCTGAAATATCTACTTGGGATGGAGTGATAGTGACACCTTCAGAAAAGGCTTATGAGAAGCCCCCTGAGAAGAAGGAAGGTGAGGAAGAGGAGGAGAATACAGAAGAACCACCTCAAGGGGAAGAAGAGGAAAGCATGGAGACTCAGGAGTGACCTTCCCTTCATTCCCTTTGCTACCCAAGGGGAAGGCTGGAGCCTAAGCCACCTGCTTCTGGGCTTTATATGGTGGCATTTCTGTGGGGTAGTGGAGATAGTAAGAAGGAAAACAGACTGTATAAAAATGTCATTCCTCTGTTTTGATAACTGGCTTAGAAGCCAGATGTCTCCCATTTATGACCCCTGCCATCCATGATAATAAAGCAGGATACTGACATTTCTTCCTAATCCTCTAGAATTCCCAACTCCTAAAGAACCTCTCAACTTTATTGAAATGTGAACTGTTATGTGTCTGGAATTTTTTTTTCTAAGAAAAACGATTAAAGTACTTCCTAGTAGGGTTCCTGGTTTTGTTTTTCTTGGATGTGGCAATCTTTTTTACTTTCTATACTCTTTTCATTGAGAATTATGTCTGAGTATTTTATTATAAATACTAAGATCATAATCTCAAACTATTCAAATTAAATCTTTCCGCATACCAGAGTAAATACTAGATACTGTTTAAGCATTTATTAAATGATTCAAGCTAGTGCAATCAACAAAAGAGGGTGGACAGAAGTCATTCACTTTGACTTTGTCTTCTCCTCTAAATCCTCTGTAAACAAGGGAAAAAGAAAGCACAGGTAGAGGACAAGTTGCCCAAGTCCAGACAACTAGGTATGAACTAGGATGCTCTGCTCTGGTTAATCAGGTATGAAAAAGGTGGGCCTCAAATACGCAGCTTTTAAAAAATGCAGAGGCTTATTTTTGGAAGGAAGCAAGAGCTTTAGGAACCTGAGTCCTGCTGTACACAGGCTTCTTGGGGTTGCTACATGAATGAAGTGCTTCAAACCAACCATAGGGCTGCCTTTTTGGTGTCCCAAGGTCTATAGGGATTGTTTCCTGGAATCTTCTCATGTTGAAACAAAGCTGCTGGGAACAGTACTTGTGCTACTCAGGTCACAGGCTCATCTTCTGTTACTTGCTTGGGGAACCAGGAGGATAAATTCCTGAATCCAGCATTGCTCTCCTTCGAGCTGTTTCCTTGGCAACATTGTGATTTAGCCGCCTCAGCCGTTCCTACAAGACAGGAAGATTTGGAATCTAATAAACTGCTGTGAAAGACTTATTGTAAAAAAACAATTTTAGGGCTGGGCACTGGTGGCTCAAGGCCTGTAATCCTAGCTACTCAGGAGGCAGAGATCAGGAGGATTGCAGTTCAAAGCCAGCCTAGGCAAATAGTTCACAAGACCCTATCTCAAAAAAACTCATCACAAAAAAGGGCTGTTGGAGTGCTCAAGGTGTAGGCCCAGTACCGCAAAAAAAAAAAAAAAAAAATCCTAAGTCTTCTAAAGTACATTTAAGAGTATAAATGACTAACTGGATATTGAGAATTGAGTTTATGATACTAGTTAGCAACTCCCTTTTCCCCATTTTTAAGAACTTGGGGGCTAGGTTTGTAGCTCAAGTGGTAGAGAACTCGTGTGGGTTCAGGCCCCAGTACTGCGAAATATTTTGGGGGGTGGCTTTGTGTTGAGATTTGTAAAGGGCAAAGAATCACTGGTGTTAGGAACTTTTTTTTTTTTTACCTGTGCATTCTGCAGAATGTTGTTGACCAAAACAACCCGCCGCCTGGCATTAAGCAGCTTCTTAACATAGGGGTCAAGATCCAAGGCCACCTTCTGATCCTCATTGATTCGGCACAGTTCTGGGAGGGGGGGGAATAGAAGGTGCAACAAACATCTAGCTAATGGTTCACTTCTCGTTCTTAGTGAAAGTGTGCTAGTAAAGGGATGGGAAACACTCTTGGGTCACAGACACCTTTCCTTCATTCCCTTTTTTTTTTTAAAGCAGTACTAGGGTTTGAACTCAGGGTCTCACGCTTGCTAGGCAGGCACTCTCCCACCTGAGCCACTCCGCCAGCCCGTCTTTCACTCTCGTGCTTTGTCCTAAGACATCCCTTGAAGGAAGAATGGATTGGCAGTCCTCATCTTCTAACGTGAGAAACCCGGCCCAGAGGGTCCCTGAACATAAGGGTCCTGAAAGTGAATTCTGGGTATCTAGGGATGCTCACTCACCTGTAGCTAGGTTGTCAATTTGTTCCCGTAGCTCTACCTGGCTCTCCCTGGAAAGAGGTGCAAGACTACACGGTCAATTAATGGAATTCAGGAAACGAAGTCTTATTTCTCAAGTACTGGGACATGCCAGCCTCAACGCGCCCACGCGCCGCCTCCCATTGTTACCCCCGGCCTCAAATTTATTTATTGGCGGTACTGGGGTTTGGATTCCCGGCTCCGCGCTTGCTAGGCAGGCGCTCTACCACTTGAGCCACGCCCCAGCCTTCAAATTTATTCTTAGTCTGAACTAGAACTCATCATGTCTCCGCCTTCCATGGCCCCGCCCTACAAAGCAGGTTCGAAAGGCCCCGCCCCCAGCCTTCCCTCTCCGGCACCTGACAGCGTGGACATGGGAGTCGAGCTGCTGCACAGCGGGTCGCAGGAACTCCAGCAATCCCTCGGCGAAGAGGTCGCGGCCTGTGGGCCCAGCCACCGGGGTCCCTGCCCCGGACACAGCGGCGGAGCCAGACCCCGCCATCACGAACTGTCCTGCCGCCCGGAACCTGCCGCGAAGACCGCCGGGAACTGGAGCCAGCCGAAGTGCGCCGCGAGGGGGCGCTCGGGAAATGTGGCACCGGGATTGATGGGAAATGGAGTTTTGAGAGGGCCGGCGGGAAGAAGGGTCTAGCGAAGAGCCCTCTGTGAGTTGTAGTTCTTCGTAGGCCTTGAGGGCCGGGTTTTGAACAAACCCAGACTTCAGGAGCCCTGGACGAACCGCTTTTTGAATTGCATGCTTTTTGTCTTTTCCAAAAGTGGAAGTGCGAGCTAATATCCCCAGTTGCACATAGTCTTCCCATGTTAATTTATAAGAAAACTAGATTGTGTTCATGGTATAATTTTGTTTCTAAAGAGTAGTGGTGGCTCACACCTGTAATCCTAACTAGTTGGGAGGCTGAGAGGAGGAGGATTGATGCTTGAGGCCAGGCCAGGCAAATGGTTCACCAGACCCTATCTGCAAAATAACCAGAGCAAAACTGGCCTGGCTCCAGTTTGCATCTGTCCCTTACGCTCATAATTCCCCAGGGCATGGGGGAGGGTGTGGTGCAGAAATGCTCCTGGAGGATGAGTAAGGGACCCATAGAAATGAAGGGAACAGGACACGCCGTCTAAAGATCCATCTTCAGGAATAAGGAGGGAAAACGCTTTTAAATCACCGTGCTGTTCCGCAGATAGAACCCTCAGTCCTCTATTGGGAGACCTTGCAAAGTCTTGTACTTTTTTTTGGTAAGACCAGGGTCTGAACTTAGGGCTACCCGCTTGCAAAGCAGGCGACTGCTTAAGCCACTCCTCCGTTCTTACTCTTTGTTTTTGGTTGTTTGTTTTTCATTTTTATCTTTCTCTCAGGTGATTAAAGGTAAAACTCTCATGAGAGACTGGGGGACTTATTTGGGGAATAATCAGCAAGGAAGGGGGTAGCCAAGGCGACTGCAGCATGCTTCAAGCCACGCCTTTGGAAGAGGAAGCCCAGGGAATAGAGAGTGGTGACAGTGCTGAAGAGGAAAGAAAAAGGTCCAAGCCCCTGTGGCCTCTACTGGGAAGGGAGCAGGGCTGGTCTGGCCTGGAAACGGGCTCTGGAGGTTGGTAGTCCAGTGTCTGGACGAGAAACCTTTGAGTCAGGCTTCAGTCCTTTCACCCACATCTTTAAAGTAGGGCTACCAGACTTAGAAAACACGTTGAAAAACCAACCTGGGACACCAAGTAAATTTGAATTTCAGATAAACAGTAACTTTTTTTTTGGTGACAATGGGATTTGAATTCAGGGCTTCATGCACTTGAGCCACATCTGCAGCCCATTTTGTTTTATTTTGAAAATGGGGTCTTTGAGCACTTTTTTTCATTTTATTTGTTGGGGCTAGCCTCCAAACATGATCCTCTGGATCTCAGCCTCCCAAGTAACTAGGATTACAGGTGTGAGTCATCAGGGCGCCCAGCTAATAAATAACATTTTAGAACAAGTATTTTATATGGTAATCCCACTACAAAGGCTAGGTCTCAGGAAAATCACTGTGCTTTGCTTTCATTTTTTACTCCTTTTTTACTCCTTGTCACCTTGAGTTAGCCTTATCTCCTGTGAGGATATTGCAAGTGTGTTAGTTACCTTTTTGTACTGTGACATAATATCTGGGTAAAACAACTTAAAGGAGATTTTAGACATGCATCACCACCTCTGGCTTTAAACAGGGTTTTTATCTTGTTTTTTTCCCTTTGAGACGGTCTCCACATATAGCCCAGGCTGGCCTTGAATTCACAGTCCTCCTGCCTCAACCTTCTGCGGTATGCATCACTATACCCAGCTTAAAGAATTTTTTTTTTGTCAGTACTGGGGTTTAAACTCTGGGTGTTACACTTGCTAAACAGGTGCTCTGCTATGAGCCACACCCCCAGTCCAAGGATTTTTTTTTTCGGTGGGTCTGGAGTTTGAACTCAGGGCTTTGTACTGACAAAGCCCGTGCTCTACCACTTGAGTCAAAGTCCAGTTAATTTTGTTCTCATTATTTTGGAGATGGAGTCTCAAGAACTATTTACCTGGCTGGCCTAGAACCTCAATCCTTCTTAACCCAAGAAGCTAGGATTGCAGGTGTGTGCCACTGGCGCCCAGCCCAAGAATGTATTTTTATTTTTATTCATTTTAATTTTTTTCGTGTGTGTGGCACTGGGGTTTGAACTCAGGGCCTTCACCTTGAGCCACTCTACTAGCCCAGTTTTTTTTTTTTTGTGGTAGGTTTTTTTTGAGATAGGGTATCTCAAACTATTTGCCCAGGCTGGCTTCAAACCATGATCCTCCTGATCTCTGCCTCCTGAGTAGCTAGGATTACAGGCGTGAACCGCCATCACCTGGCTAAGAATACACTTTTGATGGCACTAAATGGCTTTAAAGGTTTCAGCCCATGGTTAGCTCACTCCATTGCTTTCAGGCCTGTGGCAAGACCAAAACGTTGTGGTGGGAGGGTACAATGGAAGAAAACTGTTCACTTTATGGTAGTCAGGTAACAGAGAGAGACAGACTGGTCTGAACTAAAGATACACCGTTCAACTACCTACTTCCTCCAACTAGGCCCCGCCTCCTAGTTTCTAACATTTCCCAATAATGTCATCAAATTATGAATCCATAATGGATTAACCCATTGATGAAGTTAGTAACCTCATAATCTAATCACCTTGCAGTAGTGTTACCATCTGTACAAAAGCCTGCAACACATGAGTCTTTTTGTGGGGCACTTTATTTACAAACACATCAAACAAATCGAAAAAAAGATACCTGTTGAAACTATTTCTTGAATGTGGGAGAAGGGGTAAAGGAGAATGGTGGAGGGGGTGAATTCAAGTATGATATATTTGATACATTGTAAGAATCTTTGTAAACGCCACAATGCACCCCTACCCAACACAACAATAAAATAAAATTAAAAAAAACATATCAAACAGCTCCTGGCTGATCTTTGAGTCTCTAGTCTTTCCAGGTCTATCTACACTCTAAAATACCAGTCAGAGCCGGGGTGCCAGTGGCTCCCATCTGTAATCTTAGTTACTTGGGTGAAGCCAGCCCAGGCAAATAATTCCTGAGACCCTATCTTGAAAATACCCAACATAAAAGGGGCTGGAGGTGTGGTTCAAGGGGTAGAGTTCCTTCCTAGCAAGTGTGAGGTCTGGAGTTCAAATCCCAGTACTGCCAAAAATAAACAAATAAAATGCCAGAATACATAATACCTTGTTCAGGGAAAATTAGTATTGAAAAGGATTTTAGAATTCAGGCAAAAAGAAAGCAATTCAATGATCCTGGGAAAAGCACAACATTCCATCTTATGGGGGAAGATGAGAAGCCAGCAGCCAAGGAAAATTCAGAAGGGGCTGGGGCTAAGGCCAGCTCAGCTGGAGTGCTGGTCTCCTAGGGACCAAGGCCTCTGCATTTCTTTTTTACCCTGACTCCTACTGATACTTCCTCTTTATTATTATCTTCTCTGATACTGTAATTTTTTGTTAATTAAATGTTTTAGTCAGAAAAAGGGTGGGGGGGGGTTGGGATCCATCTCTTCTTTGTCCCTTGGATCCTTGTGAGGGAAACTGGGCCAGGGCCTCAGAAACCCTAAGCTTTGATAACAGGTTGAAAGCTAGTGCTGGTTCAGTTATTCATTCTCTAACACCCCAAATGGGCTTAAGGAGAGATGGTGTTCATGGTAGTGGAGGTCCTGGGAGATTACCTTAGCTTCTCAGGAGGCAGTTAGAGAAACCCTATCTCGAAAAAACCCATCATAAAAAAAGACTGAAGGAGTGGCTCAAGGTGTAGGTCGTGTGTTCAAGCCCAGTACTAAAAAAAGGAAAACAAAACAAAACTGCCTTCCAGAACAACTTCAAGTGCATATGAAGCTAGCATTTAGTTTATGGGAATCCTCCCTCTAGTCTTGCTGAGAAAGTCAGGGTAATACATGCTGGGAAGGCTGTTTATGGAAGATGGTCCACCTGAGCATCCTGCTATGAAACAACCTGAGGAGGAGCTGCTGGCCATTGGGTTCTGCTTGTAATTCCTCACTGCAGGAGGTGAGATTGGGAGAAGTCAAATCCTAGGATATCCACCCACAGCTGGAAAGCAATGGTTCCTCCTGAAATGTTTCTCCAGCATTCTCTATTACCAGTTGGAAAAGGAAAAATATTTAAGGGGCCCAGAACCATTTTCATAGAACAGGCAAAAAGAATGAATTAGGCTGGGTGCAGTGCAGTGGATTGTGCCTGTAATCTCAGCTATTTAAGAGGCAGAGATTAGGAGGATCGTAGTCTAAGGCCAACACAAGCCAAAAAAAATTAGCAAGACCCCTTCTCAATCAATAAGCTGGACATGGTGGCTTTAGCCTGGAATCCCAGCCACAGGTAGGGTTGAGGTCCAAGTCTGTGCTGGGCAAAAAGGACGATTTACCTGAAAAGAAAAAAAAAAGTGCTGGGGACAGGGCTAGAAAAAAGTGGTAGAGAGTCTGCCTACCAAGTATGAGGCCCAAAATTCAAATCCCAGTCACACACACACACACATACACTCTCACAAAAGGACAAGAGGGTACCGAGGCAAGGACAGGAAGGGAAGAATTATTAGGAAGTTGTATGGGAAAATTCAGAGACCATGATCCTCTCACATTCCAACAGCCTCCTCCTTGGTTCTCTGCAAGCCAATCCCACTTTCTGCAGATGTCCTCAGGGCCTCTTTGGTTTTCAATTTCCCCATGATGGTCCATCATAAGGGTTTTGCAATTTATAAGTATTTTCATTTCTAAAATCTGCTTGGTGCAAGACCTTCTACCAAAGCCACCTCCAGTCTAAGTATTTCCCTGCTCCTTCCATGTCTCCATGAGGAAAATTTTTATAGTACTTACTTCCTGTTTCATTGGTTGCATGAGACCAGGTACCCCAAGTAGCCCCCCAACCACCTTAGTCCATTGCCTCCCTCCCCACTCACCATGGCAGGGGTAACTCACCCAGAATCAGACCTAGGGATGGTGCCCACTTGCTGCTGTGTTTGCCATAGACCAACTAGCACATGTGAACCCCTAGCAGGAGGCTGGTAGTCAGAAT